AACCTTGAGCTAGCATTTTTTTTCCTTGATCTTTTTTTTTTTTTTAATATACATGCACACACTTGTTTGTGTCCATTTTTCTCCCCTGGCAATGTATCTTTCTCTCTATTCAGAGGAAAAATAAAAACACAGGGGCAGGCTGCACAGGGACTGATCACTGTGATAGCCAGAGTCCATTACAGTGGTCAGGCGATCAGGAACCAGGCCTCCTGGTTCCCGATCATTAGTAGGAGACCCGGGGGTCTCCGTGACAGCCTGGTTTCTGTGTTGGGATTGCGCGATCGAGTGCACTCCTAGCACAAAACACAAGAACAGGTATATGCAGTGCCCAGGTTTAATTCCTTCCCGCCAGCCGTATGCATATATGCGGTCTCTCGACGGGTGGGCCTCAATGCTGAGAGGTCGCATATATGCGTACCTAAAGATAAACAGAACTATGCCGAGAGCATGTGCCGTGCGCGCTCCCGGAACAATTACCGGTGATTAACAGAAAGCTCCCGATCAATCACTGTGGTCACATGATCAGAAACCCTGCCCTGCCTCCAGGCATCTGCAGCCCCTAAAAGGCCGGGAGACACCAGCGCCAAGGGGTAAATGCTCACCTCCTGGAGGCCGCATATGTGTGTTACAGTGTCATAAAGGGGTTAAAGTGTAACTAGGGGTGTTACCAGGGTCAGCAGAACTATTGTACCCATTGGAGGATTTCCCCTTGATTAATATTCGGGCGTCAACCCAACATTTGAGATTTTCTATTACTTTCATTTTCGACGTTCACAGTTTACTTTAAGTTTTGATAAGAATAAACAGGACAAAATAGGGTGAATCACCTTGGTAGGGGCCCAGTCAACAATAAGAACTGAAAGATGTTTTAATCTCTCTCCACTCTATCCAAAACTTAAAAAAAAAAAAAAAAAAAAAAAAAAAGGATTTTCTGCCTTTAGTTGCACTTTAAGGGCTCATGTACAGAGGACGCTTCTGAAAGCTGGAAAACGTTGGTTAAAAAACGTCAGTTTAGCCATGTTTGCATAAGGCATTTAGCCGTGTTTATGCACGTTTGCGTTTAGAAGCGGTTTTAAAAGATAACCTCAGAAGACCCTCCCAAATGCCCAGAATGCACTGAAAAATAGTAAATTCACTAAAAAAGGCTACTAAAATACCGCATTAGTTATTTCATCAAGTCATGCGCTATTTTAGTAGTGAAAAGCATGCATTAATGTTTCAGCTGTCAGCGGGATTCCCACTGACAGCTGAACGTAAAAGAAAGAATTGCCGGCAGTTAAAAAATAAAAAACGGCATGGGGTCCCCTCCCATGTATACCAAGCCCTTCGGGTCTGGTATGGATTTTAAGGGGAACTCCCATGCCAAAATTTTCCCCAGAGTTACAGGAAACTTTGTTTCTTTTAAGAAACTAAAAAACATTTCTTTTAATTTGGGGAAATAAACTAAAAGAAAACTCTCTGTTTTAGCTGGGGGAAAGTGACAGCTGAATTTCTGAGCTATAGTGAAGAAAAAAAAAAAAAGTGGTAATTACATTAAAAAACTAGCACCATAATAAATAAAAAACGGTGTGGGGCCCCCCTCCATCCATACCAAGCCCTTCGGGTCTGTATGGATTTTGAGGGGAACTCCCACGCCAAAATTAAAAAAAAAAAAAAAAAAAAAAAAAATGGCGTGGGGGGTCCCCCCCAAAATCATAAAATACCCTTAGCCCCCGCCCCACCCCCCTCCTGAACCATACCAGGCCACATGCCCTCAACATGAAGGGGGGGTGCTGTGGGGCGGGGGGGGCGCTCTAGATTTGAGGAAGGGGGGGGGAGCATGTTGAGGGCATGTGGCCTGGTATGGTTCAGGGGGCTTACTTCCCCCCCCCCCCCCGACCTGCTGGGCTGCATGCTCGGATAAGGGTCTGGTATGGATTTTGGGGGGGAACCCCACGCCACTTTTTTTTTTTATCGGCGTGGGGCTTCCCCTCAAAATCCATACCAGACCCGAAGGGCTTGGTATGGCTGGGAGGGAGGACCCATGCCGTTTTTTAAAAATTTTTGAATTGCAAGCAATTCTTTCTTTTCATTCAGCTGTCAGTGGGAACCCCGCTTACAGCTGAAACATGATGCATGCTTTTCACTACTAAAATTCCGTATGAGTTGATAAAATCATGCAGTATTTTAGTAGCCTTTTTTAGTGGATTCAAGTGGGGTTTTTTTTTTTTTAAATGCTATGCGGAATCCTACTTGGATGCGGTAGGATACCGCTTAGTGAATTGTGCCCTGGATATGGACCAGTCAAAAACGCTTATAAACACAGTTAACCGCATTCACAATGCTGATAAAATCTACTCCTGAACGCAAGTTTGGTGCGTTCAAAAAAAACGAATGTAAACTCAACTGGCTGTATACGACATAGTGTACATGGACACACAGAAAAACATTAGGGAGCGTTCAGGGGTTACTGGAAAAAAAAAAAAAAACACAGAAAAGCTCCTCAATGTCACTTTATCAGCTGCAGTGTACATGGAGCCTAAAATGCAGCACTAATCATAAATGACAAAACATTTTAAAGGTTTCACCAACCTGTGCTCACCTCCCTCAGATGCTTTTTCAGTTTGATTAATCAATTCGTAACATCCCTGAAAAAATATTAAAATTATTTTTTTTTTTTTATAGCTGAAGCAGCAAAAAGAATTGTGACAGACCTGTAAGTCCGTATCTTGAAGTATACACTACAGGAAACCAAAACGGATTCATAAACCATGAATGGGTTATATGCTGCTACCGTCAGTTGATTGGACAATGGCAAAATATATAACCCTGTCCACTCTGAGGGTCCAGGTTTTTTTGCGTTCAAAAAATATCACAGAGAAGAGAGGGGAAGGACTTACAGTGGCAAGAAAAAAAACAAAACAAAACAAAAAAAAAAAAAAAAAAAACTTTGAACCCCTTAGAATTAACTTGTTTTCTGTAGTAATCTACCATATGTTACCTGACCCATATCTAAGTCACAATAAAAAAAAACAATGTGCTTAAAGCTATTCTGAAGGCCTTTTTTTTTTTAAATAACAAACATATTATACTTACCTACTATGTGCAGTGGTTTTGCACAGAGCAGCCTGGATCCGCCACTTCTCGGGTCCCCCAAAGGCGCTCCTGGCTCCTCCTTTCTGTCGGGTGCCCCCATAGCAAGCTGCTTGCCATGGGGGTACCCGAGCAGGCATGCTCCCAAGCCGCTGCTCTATGTGATCAATCATGCATGGAGCCACAGCTCGGCACCACCCCTCTCTCCCTTATTGGCTCACTGGCTGTGATTGACAGCAGCGGGAGCCAATGAGGACGTAGATACCCAGGACTGCCGAGGCTCTCATGCACATTGCTGGATCGTGATGGGGCTCATGTAAGTAATAGGGGGGGGCTGCTGCACACAGATTTAAAGATATGAACTAAATACATAAAGCTAAAACACCTGCAGCTTTTGGAACCACTTTAAACAACCAACAATTTTTTTTTAGTTTCTCTTTACTCAAACACACCCCTTAAACATTCATATTGCTGAAAGAAAAAGTAAGTGAACCCACAAACTAATTACTTCAAATGACAGGTAACTGGAGTCAGTAGTTTGACAATAACAAAAGTGTTTAAAGGATAAGTTCACATTTTTGAAAAAAGAAAAAAACAAAAAATTTACTTTTTTGCAGGTTAAAAAATATGTGCATTTACTATTTCTTTTTCTTTTGTAGGAGCCTGGAAAGCATTACACCAATGATCAGTAGACTATCAGTGTAAGCTGTCTGCTTGTACCTCATATAGGCAGGCAGTTATACAATGACAGGAAGACTCAATGGACTACCAGTCAGGGATGTTGAATTTATGTCGCCCGAAGCCCGGGACATTAGTTCTGGGCACCGGGCAGTCAGGTGGAAGCATTCGGCCAGGCCCTGCACTGCCACCCGAATGCTTCCACACACTCTACAACAGTGTCAGCCTCTGGCCGCCCCTGCCTTGAGTATAGGGGAGGGAGGCGAGCGATCTCCACTCCCCTTCTTGTTCTGACCCGGAAGTGATGCCACTTCTGGGTCCCCGTTGACAGATTTCCCAGCCATCGAGGCCGGAAAGAATGTAATGTGTACGATGTGCACTGCATTACATTCAGTGGAGTACAGTGGGGATGTCTGGTCTCAAAGAGAACCTGTCTCCAAAAATCATCACATAGGGACTACTATTTGTCCCCTATGTAATGAAAAATGTTTCCCTGTTACACCCAAGCACATGACCCCCCCAAAAAATTTGAGCCCCCTCCCTAGAACATATGTTCATGTACAAATGTACACGCGCTGGGGAGCCTATGCATGAAAACGTTGATTGCAATACACGTTACTTTTGTCGCCACACACGCCAGAATGAGAAAAAGTAACTCAAGCACCAGTACCTCCTTCGTTATCGCTAAACTGATGACCTATAAGGGGCTTTAAAAGCATTGCCTAAAGAAAGTATAGGGCAGTGATGGCGAACCCGTGGTCACGCGTGCCACAGCCGGCACGCCGAGCCTTATCTGTGGGCACGCCAGGAGAATACCGTATTTTTCGCTCCATAAGACGCACTTTTTTTCCCCCAAAAAAGGGGGGAAAATGTCAGTGCGTCTTATGGAGCGAACATAGAGCGGCCGGTCCGGTATTTCCACCGCCGCCGTATCAGAATACCGGGCCGGCCGCTCAGCTCTGCAGTGGGACCGTACCTGTCCCTCTATCCAGCGGCGCGCTGTCTTCCCGGCTTCTGTAGTGTGCGTGACAGCCGGGTCCCAAGTGCGCATGCGCAAGAAGCAGTGCTCTTTGTGAATGGTAAGGCGGTACCTGGGACACATGACAGATCCCAGAAGCCGCCGGATCAATCACAAAGCGCAGCGCTTCTCGCGCATGCGCACTGGGCATCCGGCTGTCCGACGAGCGCCCACACTACAGAAGCCGGGAAGACAGCGCGCGGCTGGATAAAGGAACAGGTAAGATAAAAAAAAAACTCTGCGGAAGTAAGAGTCGGGTACCTGTCAAATTCAGGTACCCGCTCCCCCTCCCTCCCCAAGGTCAGCAGTCATCTGTACTGTCCGCAGTCTCTGGTCATCCCTGTACTGTGTCCGCAGTCTCTGGTCATCCCTGTACTGTGTCCGCAGTCTCTGGTCATCCCTGTACTGTGTCCGCAGTCTCTGGTCATCCCTGTACTGTGTCCGCAGTCTCTGGTCATCCCTGTACTGTGTCCGCAGTCTCTGGTCATCCCTGTACTGTGTCCGCAGTCTCTGGTCATCCCTGTACTGTGTCCGCAGTCTCTGGTCATCCCTGTACTGTGTCCGCAGTCTCTGGTCATCCCTGTACTGTGTCCGCAGTCTCTGGTCATCCCTGTACTGTGTCCGCAGTCTCTGGTCATCCCTGTACTGTGTCCGCAGTCTCTGGTCATCTCCTGTACTATGTCCGCAGTCTCTGGTCATCCCTGTACTGTGTCCGCAGTCTCTGGTCATCCCTGTACTGTGTCCGCAGTCTCTGGTCATCCCTGTACTGTGTCCGCAGTCTCTGGTCATCCCTGTACTGTGTCCGCAGTCTCTGGTCATCCCTGTACTATGTCTGCAGTCTCTGGTCATCTCCTGTACTGTGTCCGCAGTCTCTGGTCATCCCTGTACTGTGTCCGCAGTCTCTGGTCATCCCTGTACTGTGTCTGCAGTCTCTGGTCATCCCTGTACTGTGTCTGCAGTCTCTGGTCATCCCTGTACTGTCCGCAGTCTCTGGTCATCCCTGTACTGTTAATTAGTTTGCACTACTGTACGAGTTGTTTTTTCTAAACCAAAAGCTCGATATTCAGGTTTCATTGCAGTGTTGGCACTTTGAAAGAAATAAGTTGGTTTTGGGTTGCAGTTTGGGCACTCGGGCTCAAAAAGGTTCGCCATCACTGGTATAGGGTATTAAAGTTTACTGCCATTTCACAAGCACACAAAAATTTAAGGTTTGACATATTGGATATCTATTTACTTAGGGCAACCTCATCTTTTACATTTTACCAATAAATTGAGCGATGTATTGCTTTTTTGTGCCCTAAAATTAAGTGTATTTTTTGCTGAACCTTTGTGGTAATATCACGAGACATAAAAAAAGATAAAGAAAAACTACCACTATTTTATCCTGTAGGGTGTCTACTTTCAGAAAATATATAATGTATGAGGTTTTGTGTAATCTTCAAACCTAAAATTATTTTTTAAAACGTGTGCAAAAAAACGCAAAAACGGCTCTGGCATTGAAAGGGATAAAAGGATAAGCCTAACACTCCCATTTCCTGACGACCACCCAATCGGTGCTCATTACACTGCAAGGTCTTTCTCCTCCCTGCTAGTCCCCGGGTGCAATGCTGGAGACAGGTAGGGAGGCGAGTAGGAAATAACAGCGCAATGTTAAAAATATTAATGGTTTAAGTTGCCATAAAGCCCCTTTTATTTTTAAAAGACATTCCAGACATTCCTAAAAGCATCTCAGATTTAAATACAGTTTTGGTCAAAATGTATTTTATTTAATCTGGAGAAGTAGATTGCCATGAGGGACAAGTAGATTGGGACACTGATTTAGTCCCTGGACAAGCAGTTTTTTTTTTTTTTTTTTTTTTAAAACTTCCACACCCCTGCAGAGTGCTCAATAGCACCCAGGTAGTTCATTGAGAACCACAAGCTGACAGCCACAAAGGATGTTGGTACTCTTCGTTCATTCACAGAACTCTGAATGATGTCAGTGTGGGTGGAGCCCCGTTGTTTTCAAATAGTGACAGCAGGTACGGAGAGAAGATTCCCATCCTGAGGTGTCAGAGGGCTCGGAGTGGCTGCAGGAGTGAGAACATGTTCCCAAAGGTGAACCTATTCTTGAAGCTAATGACACGAACAATTCTTATTTTGTGGACTAACTAAACAAAATTTGGATTGTTCATGCAGAATACTCGGCAGTATGTATGGAGCAAAAAGTGCACAAGTCAGTGACATCAAAACATCATTCCAAAGGTGATGTATGGTGGAGGGGACATCAAGATTGGGCTTGCGTCGCTGCCTCAAGGCTTAGACCACTTGCAAACATCAGGGGGAAAATGAATTCCCAAGTTTTCCAAAATATCCTACAGGATAATGCCAGGGTGGCTGTCCGTAAACTGAAGCTTAGCAGAAATTGGTGATGCAGCAGGACAATGACCATAAGCATCGAAGCAAATCCACCAAATACTGGCTTCAGAAAAAGAAAATGCACCTTTTGGAGTGACCCAGTCAGAGCCTCGACCGTAACCCAATATAGAGATACCATGGAATGACCTCAAAAGAGCCATTCACACCAACATCTTACAAATGTGTCTGAGCTGAAGCAGTTTTGTAAAGACGAATGGTCCAAAATTCCTCCTGAACATTGTGCAGGCAGGTCTGATCCAGAGTTACCTAAAGCATTTGCTTGAAGTCACTGCTACCAAAAGCAAAGCTGAGTAGCTAATACCTCCAAGAGTTCACTTTCTCCTCCAGCACTGTGAATGTTTAATGGGTGTCATCAAAAAAGACATGGAAAATTAGAAAGGTTTGTATGTTATCAGCTTAATTCCAAGAGGTTCACATACTTTTTCTTGCCACTGTATGTCTGTACTGTAATAGATACAGAATTTACAAGCATGTCAAAATTCCTCTCATCTAATCCCTAATTTCTCTCATCTAATTGTACAGTATAGGATGCAGGAATTGATTCATAGAACATGGGAGATTTCCATACAGTAATCAAGGGGTGGGCAACAATACAGCTAAACAGCAACAGGCCCACAGCAAAAACCTAGGTGGTCAAAAGGCCTAAAACAAAAATGTTACAGATTATGTAAACCCAACATTTCATATTTCTGATATGTGCCTGCCGTACCATGTACTTGTATGAAAAAGTATCCTGTTTGCTTTGTATTGCTTTCTCTGTGTGAAATCCCTGGTGTACCTATTGAAAACTGACCACACTAGGCAGGACAGCAGTGTGGACAGTGTTCTGGCTGTGCTGAGAATTAATCCAACAATCAAGCTTGTAATGACATGCCTCCCCTGCACAACCATTTACTGGGAAGATCAGTGTACTGCTGTTTTGCCTCCCCTAGTTACTTATGCAGCTGAAAACAGCAAGTATGTGATCACTTATATAAATGAGAAATTAGATTTATAATTTTGTTTTATGTATACATAGATGTTTTGCCTTTCATTTTAAACTGAATGGGTTGTTTTACAAGGTGAGGGTTTACAAATTCTTTAACACTAAAAGCATCTCACTGAGACACAACTGCTGCCTAGCAGCCAACATTTTGGGGGAAGGTAAACCAGAATTTAGTCCGTAGCTCCTCTGAAAGGCGGAGTGCAGATTCTAGGTGCTGTATAACCTGGAGGATCCGACATCAACTGGAGCATGGGCTCAGGAGGGGAAGGGTGTGCTCTTTCCCAGATGGTAGAAGTCAAAAAGAAAAAAGGAGGAAAATGGCCACCCAGGGTAGAAGCAGATGGAGGAAACCGAAGGAGAGACCTTTCAATGGGGAATGAAGAGATAAGGGGGGCTGTCATACTGGGCCAGCAGGATGTGGCAGGAAATCTAGAAGGTTTCAAACAACAACACGAAAGAGCCTTCCCTCTCCCCATGTGGAAAAGGATGTCCACAGTAAAGTTACTGTTTTTGATGGCAACAGAAGGGAGAGTTTAATTTTATGAGGATCCCCAACAGAAACAGAATACCTCTATTTAGAAAGACAGAGCCCAGGATGGCCATGAGGTTTCTGCAAGAGTGCCAACAGGTTACAAGGCAGAATTGCCTATAGCAAAAGACTGCACAAGGAGTCGTAAGTAGGGACATGTAAAAAAACTCAGGATGAGGAGGAAGCCAAGAATGTAAACCATAACATGGAACTGATCACTACGACCCAACCTGGAGATAAAAAAAAAAAAAAAAAAAAAAAACAAATTCCCAACAGGGAAGGACTTGCAGCCTATGTGTGTGTTACATGAAAGGAAACCCGTTCAAGGATTGAAAGTGGACAGAAGAACTGAACAATGTTCTGAAAAGGGAAGAACACAGAATTATGGGTTAGTGGTAACTCCAACGAGTGAAAAATAGTCCCTGCACTGCCTTGGAGAGCCAAGATTGATCCTTCAGAGTCAACATGGTCAAAAATGTAGGTACATTACAGCTTCCAACACAAGGAGGAGGATAGCAGGTAGAATTCCATACCGAACAGCAATGACTACAAATCCGATACAGCTAAGAACTATATGCAACTCCCATCTTACTCCAGAAAGGGAAATGCCCTTGGGGCAACCCTAACGGACAACCTGACTTAAATAAAGCCCACAAAGTGACAGGACCATAAGTGTTCCCACTTCCCCGGATCCAACAAAGCTTCAAAATCTATGGAGAAACAGTCAGGAATCTTACAGGACAATAAAACCTTTGCCTGGATAAATGCAAAAAAAAGGGAATGTGGTAGAAGGACCTCCTTTGTTAGCCTGTAAAATAGCCAAGGAAGAAGCTCCTACACCTGGCTAAACAGATCCCTCTGATTCATTAAGGCATTCCCTTTTACTTAACGGAATATCTGCATCAGGAAACTTGTTTTTCAGGATGTAGGCAGCCCAGGGTATCAAGGTGCCCTTCTCTGAAATGCACTGTTCCATGTCCAGAAGTAACCAGCTGGAAGAAACTGGCCTCCACAAGTTCGCACTTGACATAAGCAGGGTGAACAGGATTAGACCACTGGTTTTCGTCCAAGTCAACTCTCACAAGAGCTCCAGAGTAGCAAGTAGGTACTGTCGAAAACGCGCGCATCAGAGATGGACGTGGTTCAACCATTTTGGCTTCAACCTCCATCTTGGTGAAGAAATTAACCGTCCTGAAATATCTTTTTCCTTCATCCTCCCCCTTCCTCTCTGTTCAGCCACCGTGACACCTGGTTGTGGGTCACTGGCAGGCTAGAGCAGCAGGGAGCCCAGAGCTACAAAGCCCCCCTCAGGAGAGCTGGAGTCCCACTGTCCTGAGAATGTGTGTAATTTCACATCTTGTAAAAAGATAATGGAGCCTTCCCCGGAGTTCAAGGCATTCCCAAGAAGCCCACACCAGATAACATTTTTAAAAGATCAATTTTTCCCGTTTCATATCTTGGAATATGAGAGACTTGCATAAAAACCAGACATCCCGTCAGATTGGCTAGGAGCAGGTGAACAGTTTGATGGGTCATTCGAATTATCTCGGACCATCAGGGGAGCTGAAACATAGAATTCGTGAACCGTGCAACATATATTTTCATAATTCATATCTAGATAATCCTCAGACTTGTCTGCATAAGAATATACGTGCGGGTGGAATGTCACTTGTGCAACTGGAAAGTTATGGACCAGAATATGAATTAGGAAAGATGTTGGCTCCAGTTTAGGGTTCCACCTGACGATCCCTCCCTCAACAGGGGATTGGTCTTTTTACTTCAGAACTACCACCTGCTGGGAAACTTTAAAGCAGGCTGTCAAGCCTAAGGGAGTGGAGCTGAAGAATTCTCCCATTTTTCCATGGTAACATAGGGAGATCAAAGCACCCTCCTGCTCTGACTTGGATCTGCTAAACCCAGGACGTGTGCGTGTGTGTGTGCGCGCGTGCGTTC